GACTGTGTATGGCCTTTATCACTTTTGACCAAATAAAGGTCGGTTCGAAATGAAGTTTTCACACCAACTTGATTAGGAGTGCAAGGTTAGTTGCATCAATACTTCCCAACCCAAGGCCTCCTCTATCAAGACTTTTAGTGACATCTCCCCATTTGACCCAAGCAATTTTTCCCCTGTTATCTGATCCCCAGAAGAAATCCTTTCTCATTTTCTCCAGTCTTTTAAGGACAACCGTAGGGGCTTTGAAAAATGAACAAAAATTAAGTGGCAAGGCTTCCTAGAACAGCTTGGGCTAGGACTTTTCTTCCATTGACAGATAAGGCTTTAGCTTTCCATCTTGACAATCTATATTGAAAACTTTCCACAATTGAGTCCCAAAGCCTTGATTATATTCATATAATCTCCCAGGGAACCCCAAGGTATCTATACGGGAATTTATTGACCTTACAATTAAGTTCATTGGCAGCCCAATGTACTCTTCCAGAATCAACTCCGACTCTGAAAAGATTACTTTTGTCAAGATTTAGTTTTAAACCCAAAGCCAAATAAAAGCATCACAATATGTGGAGGATATTTTTCCCTTCTTCTACCGACTACCTATTGATAAGAAGAACATCATCAACCAAAAAAAAAAACAAGTGAGAAATGTTGAACCTTTCTAAGCCGATCTCAATCCCCTTATAAAGCCTTTTTCTTTTGCAACCTCCATCAAGTGATGTAGGCCTTCCATGGAAATGATAAAGTGGAAAGGAGATAACAAGTCTCCTTGTCATAAGCCTCTTCGCACCCAAAACTCCACTGTCAGAGAGCCGTTAATGAGGATTGAAGAGGAGGCAGAATGAAGGCATGCTTTAATCAAATTCTCCCATTTGGAAGGGAATCCCATTGCTTCAAGAATATCCATCAGATAATCCCAGTCCATAGAGTCAAATGCTTTTTCAAAATCTACTTTAAATAAAAGAACATATTTTTTTTATTGTTTTACGCCCAACTGATGATCTTGTTAGCTATGAACACCCCATCTAAAATGAATATGCCCTTTAAAAAGGCATACTACGACTCGTTGATAAGCGAACTAATGGCGCAGCTTAGACGATTAGCAAGAATATTGGCAATCACTTTATAAATACAACCAACTAGACTGATGGGTCTTTAGTCTTTATAATTCTGTAGATCTGGCATTTTTGAATCAAGAAAATAGAGGAAGGGTTACACCCTTTCGGAATCCACGATTTCTCCTGAAATTCAAAAATAGCATCAACAAAATCAATTTGAATGACCTACCAGTAAGATTTAATAAAACCAAAAGAGTAACTGTCACATCCTGGAGATTTGTCATTTCCACAGCTCCACACTGCTTCTTTAATCTCAATTTCAGAGAAATCTTAAACAAGCCAATTATCGTCGTCCATAGACAGTTTACAAAGGTTAGACATGTCAAAGGATCTCCTGGATTGCAAGCTCTGCCCCATTTTGTTATTAAAGAACTCCAAGAAGGAATCTTTGTCTTCAACCACATTCTCTTTCCAGTCCTTATCAACCATTACTCCCCTAATTTGAGAGTGTTCCTTCTATGGTTCATAACTGCATGAAAGAACTTTGTATTCTTGTCACCCTCAATATCCCATTTGACTTTCCTTTGCGTCGCAAATCATCACGAATCTTCGCTTCAATTTTTGCCTTCAATTTTAAGGCTTCAGATCTTCTAACAATGGTTGCCTTATCCGCATTTCCAGCATTGATGATTTGATCAAAGACCTCTTTGTGCAATTGGATCTTCTTCCTTCCTCTTCTATCTTTTTTTTCTTCAAATACCACCACTATCTTAGGGGTTGTTTGTTTACCTCTTAATTCCATTAAGAGACAGTCTCTGAATCGTTAAGAGGTGAATCTTGTTTGGCAAAAAAAAATTTCCTCTTAATGATTTTGCATCTTGGGCCTCCCTTAACCATTCAGCACCTTAATTTCATTGTAAACAATTACCAAACAATTATATTTCATTTTACACTTATATTATGAGAGTCTCTGAATCATTTTGACCACTTAATCATTCTACACCAAACCATTCAACAACTACCATATTTCAAAAACCGCCTCCTTTTTTCTAGTCCCCTCTTGATCAACAGCTCCGTTCTCTAATCGGTCGTCTTCTTTTCCGGGACGTGGCTGCTGCTTTCGGCAGCCGTTGTTGGGCAGCGACCTTGGGTTGTTGTTGTTTCTCTTCACGGGCCGCCTGCTTGGGCCTTGCAGCTGTTGTATGGGCTGCAACTGATGAGACCAAAAACACAATCAAATTTTCTTTTTTTTTCTTTTTTTCTTTTTCACACTTAAATTGTCTCACATAATTAAATATCAACTTAAATTAAATTGGATATTTTTAAACATCTACTTAACATTAATTTCAAGGTAAATTTGATACAAAAAAATGTATAAATTTGGTACTTATCAATATCCCTAATAACTACTAAGCCAAATGTTCAATAATCTCAGTTGATTTCATATATTTTTTTGATTCAACATGTATGCTTAAACGAATATAAATATGAAATCGATCCAATGTTGGCACCCAAATTGACATCTAAATTAACTACTCTATCTGATACGACAAGGGATATACCAATGGGCTATCCCTGCATTGTTAATTAACTCATAAATATATAAATATTTATAACACACACACACACACACACACACACATATATATATATATATATATATATATGAATATTGTGGATATTAAACCATGGAAAACTTAACAATATCTATTACATATTGTTCAGACAAGATATGACCTAGTAAGACCTATTATGTCCAATTTAGAACAAATTTGACCCATTAAGGTCCAATAAGATCGAGTGCGACCAAACTGGACTAAAATGACCCATTTAAGCCCGCCAGATATATAATTTACTAAAACCAACCTTTATTTCTTACTAATTTAGAACCAGTAGCGGATCACCATAGAGGCCATGGCCACCCCTCCTTTTTACTCAAATACCATATATCACCTTTTAAAAACACATCTGATGGATGGCTTGATTGGTTATCAACATATGGCCCTTGTCCCCATTTCATTGGTTCGAGTCCCATACTCTGAACTTTTCCATTTCTGTAGTTTTCTTCTCATCTACTATATATTAAATTATTAATATCAATTGTATATAAAAATTATTTTTTAAATAATATAAAGAAATAATGTTAATATATAGTGTCGTATTAATAATTTAAAGGTTATTTTATTTGTTTTTAACAGTCCAAAAACATAATAGATTTATTACTACAACAAAGTTGAATTTATAGAACGTAAGCAATTTATAAACGTCTTAAAAGAATATTTTATAGGACTTATTTTATAGGATTAGAAAATAAAGTTTTATATCTAAAAGAGTTGTAATTAGATTATAGGACACTTTGGACTTCCTAACAAGTTCTTTAAGGACACTTTTAATATAAAGCGTCATATTACCAGTTTTATAGACTATTCAAAAATGTTCCATAAAAAGTAAACTCATCTTTCTATATGATACTTTTTCAAATATGATCCTATAATATTGCTAATACGACGTTTTGTATTAAAAATGTCCTAAAAAACTTGTTAAAATATTCTAAGCGTCCTATAAACTTATTACAACGCCTTTAGATATGTTGTTTTAGCTTTTGATCCTTTAAATTAAGTCTTGTATAAACCAATTAAGAGGCTTAATTTTTTTGGCGTCATATAAATCCGACTATGTTGTAGTGTATATTATTATTTTCCGGTTAACAGTTTGAAGGTTCTAAGTTTTAGTATTATATTAACCAATCATTTTTCTAAAATTTAATAGTAAATCATAGCAAAAAAAATTACGTACACATCATTTGGATCTCTGAAATTTTATAATATCATAGTTCGGCCACCTAGGCTACAAGGGTCATGTTACAAAGGTACAAAGTTCATATTCCGCTCCTGTTTAAAACAAATTTAACTCATTAATAACCATTAAAACCTACTATAATGTATATAGGAATTAATATATTAAGTTATAGTAAAAGTTCGTCGGTAATTATACGTGCATAAAACTGATGGATTACCAATTGTTTTCATCAAAAAATAAAATAGACATATGTTGATAACCCATCGACACATGTAGAGTTTATCAATAGTTTTCATCAAAGAAAAAGATAAAAAATAATTTTTAATTGAATGGTAACTGATAACTCGTCTCTAAGGTTTGAATTTTTCCATAGATTACCAATTGATTCTCAGAAAATAAATAAAAAATTAAACCTTTAATTTTTATCAATGGTGTTTCTATAGCTTAATTAATTATTACTATGTTGCAAAAACCGTCAATCATCTCCAATATATTGTGACGGTTTATCAACAGTTGTCATTTCCACAATTATATGTTAATTTATAATTGTTCTTAAAATTTGGAATTTATATGATTTAAGATGTCCATCCGAAATCCGTCAGTTCGAATGGTAATATCCACTTGAGAAGATTATTTTTCTTGCGGTCTCACAAGCATACGTATTGTTGAAAAGGTTAAAATAAAAATTTTGTGCCATAAAAATACTACGATACAATAAATTATATGAGAATAATATTAAGTTTTACTTCAAACTTTGAGGAGTTAATTTGTTTTAAAGACTTGTATGATGTACATACAAATGCACTGGTATTTATCATGCATGTGTTATAAATAATAAAATTAATTTCTTATATAGATGTTAAAATGGATTCAGGCTAGATCAAATTGATTCACTTAATTCATGACAGTTTTTTGTTCTTGTGATGCATGAAATGGATCATAAAATGCTTTAAAATCTTAGTAGTGATTAGAGCCACGACAAAGAAAATAGAATATGTTGGCCTCAAATTAAGTTGGCTGCCATTAATTTTATTGTAGTGGTGGACCCACCAACCTGAACAACCAACCTTACTTTCTTTATATAAAGGATCACCATCACTTAGACACTTCATCAGAACTAGAGAGAGAGAGAGATTGTATTTTCTTAAAAGAAAACTTGGTTTGTGAAAGAGGAAGGAGAGAGAACTATACGTGTCTTAGCAATCAATTCAGGAAGATGACAGGAAACTTGGCTCACCTCACTCTTGCATTTGGTGTTCTTGGTGTGTATATCTAAATTCAATTGCCTTCATTCTCTTCTCTCTTTCTCTCCCTTCTCCCCCCCCCCCCCCCCCTCTTTAATTTACGTGGGCATGAGAGGAGGGATTCGGAATGATAACACTAGAATAAAAAAAGTGTGATAAAACATTACCATGCATGTTATAAATGCACAACTTCAGACAAACGTGTTTTCCGCATTGTGTTGCTAACGATTTTGCTTCTTCAATATTTGCAGGCAATATTGTTTCATTTATGGTATTTCTTTCACCACTGTAAGCCCCTAGGTCTTTTTTCCTGTAATGTTTTGGTAAACTTGCTACACTTGAAATTGTTAAGTTCTTTTTCCCTGACATTTGAGCAAATTTTACAAAACTCAGGCCGACGTTTTATAAAGTTTACAAGAAGAAATCAACGGAAGGGTTTCAGTCGGCACCTTATGTGATCGGCTTGTTCAGTGCAATGCTTTGGATATATTATGCATTACTCAAGACCAATGCCATGCTTCTCATCACCATTAACTCGGTTGGATGCTTCATTCAAGGGTTCTACATTTGCTTCTTCCTCTTTTACGCCCCAAAGAAGGCCAAAGTATGCATAACTGATCATTTCTGTGTGCATTAACAAGAAGTTATGACTGAGAAAGAAAACTAAATATTATTCTTTATGCAGATGGAGTGCGTCAAGTTAATTGTGTTGTTGGTAATTGTTGGGTTTGGATTGATTCTTCTGCTCACTCAGTTTCTTGCAAGTGGAATTAACCGATCGGTGATAGTTGGATGGATTTGCCTCGTGTTTTCCTTATGTGTTTTTGTAGCACCTTTGGGAGTCTTGGTAAGCATGCGTGCACAAGAAATAAATACTAATATTGTGATGAAATCAAACCCTTAAATATTTCTGACTATAAATTCTTTTCACAGCGGCAAGTGATTAAAACAAAGAGCGTGGAGTATATGCCAATCCTATTATCAGTCGCACTCACCCTCAGTGCTGTCATGTGGTTCTTTTACGGTCTCCTTCTACGTGACTTCAATATTGCGGTACGAACAAAATATCCCAACTTATCCTCTGCGCTTTTCGTTAACAAAATTTAACATAGATGCTAATATATTGTATTTTGTTCTTGAAAATACTTTCTTACAGATTCCAAATGTACTTGGATTCACCTTTGGTATTATTCAAATGATCTTATACTTTATATACAACAATAAGAAGCTAGTTACGGATGAAAAAATGGCCAATTTTGAAGAGAGAATAAAGAAAATGGAGGAACAAAAGATCCCAGAACCAAAAGAACAGAAAGTCGTCATCGATGTTAAACAACAGAGTGCTTTGATGTGTTCTAATTTTCTTCCGAATATGGTTGCAAAAATAAACAAAAGCGGATGTGAAGATGATCGTGTGGCTATCGAATCTCAAGCTTGTCGAAATGTGCCAAATCATACCATAGAAGTCATGGCATGAGAACATATACTTCGATGTGATTCACAAAGAGACCGATTTTAAGTAGACATTGGTTGGATCTATCTTGTAAACATAAGTTTTACTTTGTCTATATAATTTGTGTTTTGTTTTCAAAGTTTTTTTTACCATATAAAGTGAATCTTTTTACCGGGAGAACAATTTTTGTTTAACTGGGTCGTGAGCTTTTTGGTTGTTGTTACTATGTACTTTTAGTAACTAGATTATTATTTCATGTAACTTTAATAAAACCAAAGCGTTCAATGACGTGGTTACGTATCATGTAGAAAACCATGCAAAAGGTAAAACCCTACATCACTACATGCATATAAAAAGTGTTGCAATCAAACTAATAATTTGCTAACCTTGGAGCCTACCAACAAAAGACAGTGGTTTTAAAGTAATTATGTCCCATGTAAAAAGCTTGATAAATAAAGAACATTTTCGGTAAAGATGATGTCGGATGTCACATGTAATCACGATATAGAATCGGCACGTTCAGGGTATCAAGAAATAGTAACAAATTTATTATATTTTTAATCTAAATATCACGATATAGAGTGAACGTATTCTTTCTTCAATATATGTGGATTTTATGACGGTGTTAGAAGGATTCGAACTTTTTGTTCTTGATTGAAAGAAAAATGAATATTCGACTTTAAATTAATAAAAGGTTTAGGCTAAATCAAAAAAGAGTCTCCAGCCCAACCAAATGACCAATTATAGATATATAAATAGTGATTTCATATCCATAGGTTAATCGTACTTTGAAAGTAGAGAGAGAGTTTAGAGAATTTTTGTATGTATTATTCAATAAACCAGGTCCGGGTTAACACTACAAAATAAATCTAACTAATATACCGACAAGGATAACAAAGTAACTAAAATAATAACTAATCTAATTACCCCCCCCCCCTCCCTCCCTCCCTCCCTCTTCAAGCTAGTGGTTGATCAACTAATCCCAGCTTCCATATTGTATCAGAGTGTTTAGGCCCAAACAATGACTTTGTGAACACATCTGAAAGTTGTGATTTTGTTGGTATAAATTCCACTACAATGACTCTTGCTTGCAGCTATTCTCTTACATAATAGCAGTCCGGTTCGATATGCTTTTTTCCTTTTGTGAAAAACTGGATTATTCAGGATATGTATACTTGCTTGATTATCACACCTTAGAGCAAATAGAGTATAATGTTTTCTACTCTTAAATCTGCCAAAAGTCTAATAAACTAGGTAAGCTCAATAGTGATTCTTCTCATAGATCTAAATTTTGCCCCAACCAAAGACGATAGGACTACCCATAAAAGAAACAAAACAACCACTAACTAATCTCTTAGAATATGGACAAGATGCCGAATCCAAATCACAATAAGCAAAAAGTGAAAAATCAGGCTTGTCATTGAAAATCAATCCAAAAGAACCAAATGCCTACAAATATTTCAGAACATGTAGAACAACATCTTGATAGCATCAAATTTTCATGTTTAAATATGTGTTTATAGGCTGAAAATCCATATTTTTTTATGTTTTAATAGGCCTAAATTATGTTTTATAAGCCTAATCCAAGTCCCATATTGATTAGGCAAGAAACGCGTGAGAAAATACAAGAAACAATGGTTGTCGTACTTAAGAGGGTTGTATGGAACAAGTGGTCAAAGAAAGGCATAACAGTGGAAAATGTTACCCTACCATGCAAAGGTTGCATTCAACTCTTGCATAATTGATATGTATTTACGGTATACAAAATGCTACCATAACATGCAAGGGTTGCATAATTTACAGTTGGGACCAATTTTCGAATTTTGAGCAGTTTTTCCATTTTTTTGGTATAAATTGAGTCGGAAACCGTCGTTTGAGGGAGAGAAGATCTAGAGATGATTTCTACAACAAAGAAGAAGATTTTGAAGCTTTTCTATCGTTTTCTTCTTGTTTAATTTCATAAGTAACCAGTTTCTTCATTCTACAATAGTGTAGCCATTGATCTTGATGCATTTGATTTATTAATTAATCTGATCAATTGATTGGCACTCATTTGATGAAAAATCATTTCATACCCTAAATTTGTAATTGTTTAAGGATTTTGATAAAGTGACAAATGGGACACATAATAACAATACTTATTCGGCCAACATGTGGGCTGCATCCCAATATCATACCGAGCAAGCCTACATTTATGGGGGATTTGCAAGCCAATATCATAGTCTGTCTGAGCCATACTCTTGCACCTATACTCCAGGATGGCACCCCTATCTATATTTAAACGAGTGTGACTATGGCTGGTATAACCCTTCTTATCCAAACTATGATACAACGCCACCAGCAACAAAAAGCTATTCTAGGGACTCAGGTATATCTGACAAAGAGATTGTTAAATCATTAGCGCTTAGCACATTAGCATTGCGACAGGAGACGAGCGCTAACCTTCAGAACTTGGAAAACTAGATTAGCAGGAATGAGGTGTACAATACGTCGATTGGAAGCAGAAATTGAAGAAAAGTTGGGATCCTTGAAGAAGCTAAAGATCTCCTTAGAAGAAAAGGATGAAGAAGACACAAAGATGGCAACAAAAAGGGAGAAGGTGTAAGTATACTGGAAATAATGGCCGTACATCCTCCTATCCTTATGCCTTTGGTCAATTTCATCATAAAGTAAGATGAGGAGCATGTACATATCGGGAGAACCTTCATCGCAATTAGAAAACTGAAGGTAGATGATGAGAAGGGCGAACCTAGATGAAGACACATTTGTCGTGATACAAAAAGAGAGATTATTAGAGCGCAAATGAATCATGCTTGAAATCTGGACATATTACAAGGCGCTTCAACATCGTGTGAAAACGCATGTATAGGGTATTAAGTTATTAGATATGCGTAAAGGCGCCTCCAATGTTCAATCTAGCCAAGGACGTTAAAGGAAGACGTTGTGTGGGAGGCAACCCAAGTTTATTTTCTGCAATTTTTTTATTTTTGTTTCTTTCCGTTAGCTTATTTCTTTCACTTATGCTTTTATCTGTTTTCATAGTTTATCCACCCAGTCATGGAGCTTAACTGGATGTTACCATCACACTAACTCATACAATGGAGGAACACTCAACCTATCGGGGGAGTTTATTGTTCACCCTTGCTCTTTATTTCTCTTTTTGAGTGTCCTAATTAGATTGCTCTTTATTCATACTCAAATTGTCATTGCATGGACATGACATTGTGCGTAAGAACCGGTGAGCTATACAAGGAAGCCACATCATAAAATCTAATCCAACAAGTGTCTTTGAGATAACTCTCCAGTCCCATCAACAACGGTACACATAAAACCAATAAAGCCCACCTACTTCTAAGCTTATTAATAAACTGTTTTATGAGATTCAATAGTATCAAAAAATAAATTTATATAATGTTTTTGGACGTCCTAACAAATTCTTTTAGGACACTTATAATATAAAAGCGTCGCATTAGCAATATTATACGACACTTTTGAGAAAGTGTCCTATAAACTCTTATTTTGATAGGACACTGGTTTTTATAGGACATTTTTTTTTCAAATAGTGTCCTATAAAATTGATAATGCGAACCATTGTAATAAAAGTGTCCTAAAAAATTTAAAAACATCCTGTAAATAGGACGATTTATTTTTTGCTCCTATAAATTAAGTCTTATAAACCCGATATTATTATAGTGTACACATGACAAAGCAAAGAACAGAGAAAATGGTAGACAAAAATATCCACTACCAAATGATTGATCCCATCTATACCGGAGCAATCTTCCCAAATATATAAAGATAATGGAATGATTAGAAGTATGATATAATATGCTTAGGTCATCCCACTTAATTATCAATTAATCAAATTAAATGGCTTACGTAGATCCTGGTTTCTATATTCTATCTCTCCCATTAAGCGATCCCATGATGTGTATCTGATCTCTCCCACACTCACCTTAATGCTAAGGATTATTATAATCTTACTGAATGATTTGATTAATCAACTACAAGAGACAAAGACCTTTAACATGTGATCTCAGAGTTTCTTTAAGATGACAGTAGAATGCATGAACCTATCATGGCTAGTAGTACTGGTATAGCGAGAAAAAGAAGAAAAAAACACAACTTTAGAACCCACTAGAGTAAATAAAAGAAGGGGAAAATGAATGGAAGAACTATATATACATATACTGTTTTGAAGCATTAACTTTTGCTGCTTGTATCAACTAGTTGGGGTCAACCAAATTAAGTGGGTACTGATGTCAACAAATGGCTTTTCAACCAATTGCGCTTTATTTCTCCCTTTTCATATGCGAAATTATGGTTGAGATTTACATCGGTCAATATATACATCTAGATTCGATGATTGTTGAATCTTCAAATGAGCTAACCAATAACCAATAATGATGGGTGTTTCGTGGAGAGAGTGTTAAAGATCTAAGTATAAGGGGTGGTTTGATTTGTTTTTCATTAAGACCAGTAATAATAAAACTGTTTATATCGATAAAGTTGTCTGAATAAAATAAAACTTCGTGGTATTTTTTTCTGAATAAAATAATTTTTCGATAACAATATTGGATAAATGACTTGTCAATTAAAACAATTTGAACTAACTTAATGATACAAATTCAATGTTTTTTTTGAACAGCCCATTTATTAGAACAAGGCTAGCCAGCGGCTAGACCGACGAGCAAAAAAACAAGAAAAGCAACTACACCATGTTCGGGTTACACGACCACCCATTCCAATCTAACTTGCCATAAGCCTTACTTCTATTACAGAGCCAAGAGAACACCGAAAACTGAATATCATTAGCCACACGGTAGGTGTTGAAAGGCACACCTTTGAAAGTTATAGTCAAAACAACATTAGTAAGTACTTATAAAAATTATACGTTAACATCATGGGTTAGATACAATACAATATTTCAATCATTTGGAACTAGTCTATTTGCAAATTGATCACGTAAATTGGTCAAATTAATATCTTTTTAAAAGTACATGATACCACCGTCAAAAAAACATTTAAAAGAATAAACTCTTTAATATTTTATTTTAAAATATATTTTAAATACAAAAATTGAATAAATATGCCTTCTTTTGTTTAGATAAATTCCCAATAATTACATTTGAGCAATGTTAGTAAAAGAACAACATAAAAATAGATGGACTAAAACTGAGGTGAATTCGAATCGGGAAGTATATTTTGGAAAAGGAGCCACTGT